ATTCATTAATAGACAAGCAAAATAAATATTCATTTACTTGAAGGTAATCTTGAACACCGACCTCAATTTGGGAAGGAAAAATCGTCTACTAAAAACCATAAGAAGCCCATGAGGTCCTTTTCGATTTTTGCAATCTTGCATACCAAATATACTAAATTCCTAAATTTTTCTTATTATTATTATTAATAATAATAATAATAATAATAATAATAATAATAATAATAATAATAATAATAATAATAATAATAATAATAATAAAAGCTGAACTCCTAAATTTAAGAAACAATTAGTTCTAGAATTCGATCTTATGGCTTGTCTAAAAAAAATTATGGAAAAAAATATATAAATAAACATGAAAATCCTCAATTTTGCTTCTTTCAAAAAAAAAAAAAAAAAAAAAATCCTCAATTTTGAGGAAGGAAAAAGGATGAATGGCTTTATAAAGTAAAACCCCCAAAAATATCGAACACTTTAATTTGCAATTTTTTTTAATAACACAAATAGTTAAATGTGGTAAGCAAGTATTTTAATCGTAATTGCAAAATAATTTTGGTAATTACAAAATAGAATATCATGATTACAAAAAAGAAAGTAATTAAGTTTGATTATTTTACTAAAATAAAATAAACAACTTGAGTAATGGAATGATAAATAATTTTAACATTTTTACACCTATGAATAAGATCACATAATATCGATATAATTGATGTATGTGTTTGTGTATACTGAGGATTAACAAAGGGAAGTGCTAAACGCAACCTGACTTTACTTAGCGCAGCCTCTATTCCACTCATTTATTAGATGTAGGGAAAAAATAACCATTTTATATTTTTTCCTCTCAAGTAATCTCTAATAACAAGAGTGCATTAATTTAACTTAAAATACATTGAATTTGCAATGGGTAATGATTTTTACATTAGCCTCTTCGAATATGATAAGAATCATACGAATCTATTATGTGTAGAATCAATAAAACCACTTTTCATCTTTCAAAAAAAATAAAAAAAATAAAACCACTTTTTTATATTTCGTTCAAATTGTATGAAATGATTGAGCCTATTTCGTGTGTCACCCAACTTCATCCGATTCGTGTTCATATTCATTAGATCTCGATATATTGTTCAATAATTGATTATGTAAGTAATTCGAATAAACAAAGGTATAAATTTCTGGAAATTAGGTGTGGAAGAAGGTGGAAAGGAAAGCAGGCAAAAATGTCGTGAAGATGATTTTAGCTTAGAAGGGTATTTATGGTATTTAGGAGGGGTGTATAGTAGTAACTAGAGGTTGCGTTTAGCAATCATGTTAACAAATTATCCACAAACACTAGTGAGGTTCTAATTATTTTATTGTGGAAGAATTAATTAAATGATTAATAACAATTATTGGATAAAAACCTTGATAGCCTCGACTACAAGGGTTTTCTCACTCGCCCTCAATCTTATGAGAAGTGGACTATCTTTCATATAATTTTAACTATTTACAGTATTATTGTAATAACAATGATACACTCCACATCTTAGTGATACTAATGTTAATTAGAAGTACTAATGTTAAATTTTAAAATATTTTACGAATGGTCATGTTATATACCAAAAAATACAATACATACCATTCCTCCAGATCTACTTCCTCGAGGTTAGGTATTTGAATCTCTTTATCCTTATTTTTTATAGGGGAGTAATAGTGATGTGGCAGAATGATTAAAGTTGATTGAATGGTGATGTGGCATAATGAGAAGTTTAGAAGGTGACCTGACATAATGAAATATTGAATAGGTGATGTGGAGTAAGTGAAAAGGTCTACGTGACACATAAACTTTAGTAGGAACGCCTTATAATAAATTAGTATAGATTTTAACATAAACCGGTGACAGAAGGATACATTAGTAACCCTAATATATGTTAGAGTGATTTTTTTATTTTTTTTTTATTAAAAGTACTTTTCTAGTAACATGATTATGATTAATTTAAAAAATTGTAAACACATGAGATTATTTAGCACTAATAAGATGTAACACTTGTAAGTGATAATAATTGTGTACAACACGTATGTATTATATTTTGCAAAAAAGTATTCATATTTCATCTTTAGAATTGGCAAATTAATGTTGGTCATTATAGTTTAAGACCTCTAATTCATTTATATATTGATAGTGTTGTTTGAATTTGTTTGAGAGACATGTTGAAGTATTTATTTATAATGTACTTTCAATTGTTATTTCATGCTGCTAACAAATACAAATTACTCCCTTGTGTTACCAACTTATTTATTTAAATAATTTTTAGGTACTTGAAAAGTATAATTTGTATATTAAGATTATTTTTGCGATTCACATTACTAGTTTATCAAATTATCATCAGATCCATTGTCTAGCTTGTTGATCTTCATTTTCAACATTTTTTGGTTTGCAAAATTTTAAGATTATTTTTAACTTTATCAGAAATTCATTGGCATTAAAATATAGCTTTGATCATCTTCTCCGGTAGTAAGTTCTTCTTTGTTGGTGTTAATGGCTTAGCCATCTTTTTAACTTCATAAGAACTTTTTTTTAATTATTTTTTTTATTTTTTATTTTTATAAATTGTAATATGGCTCGAATTTGTAGCCTAAACAAATGAATAGCATTTTTTTTTTTGAGAAGAAACAACAAACAAGGGAGGGAGCATTTGTCAACTGTCATTGCCGAAAAACTAAGGATGATATTTTCTTATGATCTTTATTATTTTTATTGGGAAACACATTAAAAAAAAAGCATTGGGTTTTTAAAAAAAACAACAAAAGCATTTAATGCTGAAAGTTTGGCGCTAAACTACCCGCCTAGAATGTAATATGGGTGAAATATTTCCCAGTAATTTTCCCTCTTCTTTTTTTTTATCTAAGATGATGTGGCAAGTTTCAATTGGTGTTGTATGTAGAGCCTACATACAACAATTGTATGTGTATCAGTTTCCTCATATAATGGTTTATAAGTTTAGATAATCAAGACTAACATTTTATGCACCCGATACAAGCTTGATATTATAATGCATGTAATCACCATTAAATATTTACTTTTTTTAAAAAAATAAAATTCGTATTTAATATTGTAGAACAAATACCCTAACTGGGTAATTACCTCTTACAGGATTCTATCACAAATGATTAGTTGAAAACTTTTAAAAAATTTAAAAAGATCTGATATTAATTAAATAGTATAAAAATTATCGTCACATAAAAGGTTTAACAAAATTTTAAAGTTTAATGGTATTAGTTTATCATGATTATGGCTTTTAAAAAAAATAAAGAAGTAAAAAAATATACAGAGTATGAAAATCTAATTCTATTAGTCATACACTCTGTATTATTTTTATAGATGCTAAATATATTGTTAATAAAAAAGAATTCCAGAACTACGTATAATAATAAGTTATAAATAATTGAATATTGAATATTGTGAGTGTTAATACATAATTAAAATTGTGCTTTAATTAAATTCATGCATTGTGAAATATGGATGAAAACCATTGAATAATTATTGGCATTGGTTGTTGATTTAACAATAACATATAATAAAAAAATACATCAACACTAACTTTTATATGTGGCCAGCTTTTATATAAGGAGAACCAATTGTCGATCTCTGAACCAATTGTCGCAAAATGCAAGTAAGGAACCAACTTAGCCAAATCAATATACTTATATCTCACTACAATCTAAATTACATATATTTTATTTAGGATCATGGGCCGGACCATTGCTTGGGTGGGCCACCCCTTAGATCCGTCTATGGTTGTTGGGGTTACTTTGTTATTTAAGGGTTATTCAATAAGTATAATAAGAGTTATTTTATCAGTGTTATAGGGATACTTCGTTTTTTTACAAGCGGTCACATGGTGTGACCAGCCGCACAAAAGACGCGTTAAAAAAAATCCAAATTTGAGACAAAAAATTTCAATATAATAATGTGAAAAGTTAAATGTTGATTGATTGGTATAGTTATGTAAATGATTTTTTGCTTTCTTATTAGTGGAATAGTTATTCAAAATTTTGAAAACTCACATTATTATGCAAGATTTCATTTATTTTTATTTTTTTGTTTAGCTTTTAAGACAATTTAAGTAGTTTAAATGTTGGACACCAACTTTTTACTCCCCTCGCCCTTGGCTTATGTAATAGAGATAAATTTACGACTATAATAAATTTTAATAAGGTTGAATAAATTCAAAAAAAAATTTATAATTCAAATAAATGAAAATCAGGTGAATAAAAAACATTCTAAAAAAAGTTTCGTAAATTTCATAATTTTTGTTACAAGTCGATTACTTGATCCAAAGTATCCGAACCGAGGTTTGAACTGGACTTGAAACAATGAGCCGAAACTTGACCTGACTCAGAGTGAAGTCGACTTTTTTTTGACTCAATACCTGATTCAAAAAGTTATCCAATACTTGAAGTGACTTGACTCTTTTTTTTATCAGAGATAAGTCAAGTTAAAACATAATTAGCCAACCAATTCACATAAATAGCTTCATTGTTCGTGCAAAGCCATAAAAAAGGTGTCTTGTTTCATTGTAAAAAAGCTTAAGGTAATGTTTATTTCATCTTATTTTTACTTATTTTAGATAAAGTCAGAAAAAAAAAGTTCATATCAAAGCAAAAAAAAATGTTTTGACATAATTTATCGTTTTATGTGTGGTTTTTTTATCACAAAATATCTTTAATTTCGTAATGAAAAAAGTTATGAAAATTACGTAATCAATAAAATACACATTATTATGAATCTAACAAGACCTCATTTTCTAATAGATTAGCGTACACATATAAAGGTAATGTTAAGTCAAATCAGACAATCAGATCAGATCAGAAAATATAAATTTAATAAGCAAAAATAAAATAACAACCACTGATTCGATGGTGCACGGTGGTGATAATGGGTAAAAAATATTGAGGAAATCCAAGTTAATAAGACTGAAATAATTGATATATCAGGAGTATAGCGGTCAAATTAGACTTATAAGTTAGGGGTGATTTTATAATTTCATCATTTTTTCCCCCTCAATTAAAGTTGCAAATTGCGACATGATATACAAAATTTGTATATAAGGCTTTTTGACGAGGGCAACCTCAAATATATTGGGAGTAAATTCGTTAATTGAAATTGAATTTTTTTTTGACGAGAAATTGAAAAACTTTAATTAGTCTCAAATGAATCTTGAATATTGAGCATAAAGGTCGTCGGTCGCACCACCCAAATACTCGTAAATAATTTTCCAAAGCTACGACACCTGAAGACCGATTGAGGCTAGCATCGAAGAGAGAGATTAGAGAATGGAGGGATCTTCAACTTCTGCTCTTAATTCCTCTAATATCGGATTTCAGGTGGTCTTCTTCCTCTTTAATTTTTCTTCAATTTTACAATTTTATATGTTTATTAATTTTTAATCCCTAACTCTTCAAATTGTAAATTATTCTCAGTTGTTGAAGAAGCATGGTTGGAAGGAAGGAACTGGTCTTGGTGCTTCTCAACAGGTTCTTCTTTTTCTCTCATACTTCTAGTTTTTTCAATTTTTTTTTTTTTTTTTTTTTAAAATAAATAATTTTAGGGCTTTTTTGGAACTCTATCAAATATGAATTTCGAGTTTAAAAGAAAACTAGATGAATTACTAAATGAGAGAATAGATTTAAGAGTTGCATTATTTGAAGTTTCACCTTGAAAACTATGTACGAATTATAGTGTATATATGTATTTTTGTTTACTGTGATTTTTGTTTGCACAAAACCTTAGGTTTACTGTGGAAAGACTTAATTTTACTACTTAGATTGCCAAGTTGTGAATTACTCCTTCGCTTTGAAATTAAATTGGCATGTTGGAAGAGAGAGGAGCGTTTTTTTTAATGCTATGCAGTATGCACACATAAATACGCAATGAGCGGTTGCTAGATACAAAGCATTACGGAGTAGATAATACGGAGTACTCCGTATGGATGTTTGATTTTGTCAATTTTTATTGATATTTTCAACTCAAAAATTTAACAACGAAGTATATTAATAGTGCGTATTAGATAATACAGATGTGGATAAGAAAAGGGATTAAGGGTAATGTTGTCTATTTTATCACTAGGTATTGATCGGTTATAGTATAGTGGAGTTTGAGGGGATGTTCTCTTTATTGTGGGGATGCATTCATTGTCTGTTGCTAATTTTCGACTTGTTTTCTTTTCCTCGGCATAGTTGATTTTCTTTCTCTTTGTATTGTTGTATACTTGTATATTATTTCTGTGTTATTTGTTTGCACGATGTTGAATATTTTGTTGAGCTTGTTCTTTTTCTTTCCTATTTGAATCTTCATACCCAAATATTCGTGTGTGTGTGTGTGTGTGTGTTTTTTTTTAGTTGTGTTGGAGCCAAGTTCTAATTGAGGAATGGATCAATATAAAACAAGAGATTTGAAATATTTGTTAAATTCATGGATTATTTTGCTTTATGAGCTTTTGAAGCCTTCTGTGTTTTTCCCTTTGAATTGACTCACTCTATGAATATAGTGGTTATTGAACATGATTTTGTATCATACAAAGTATTTGGTTGCATTTTGGGTGCCATATTGTACCGAACCCCATTCAGGACCTTAGCATACTTTTTCTTGTGTATGCCATAACGAAATATGGTAAAAGACTGCAACCGGCATCTCTCATAAAATTTATGGGTAGAGGCTTATTTGTATTGGTTTGAATTGTAAATACCTGTTTATCTATCTGTTTCATGCTGTGCATGTATCTGCTTGTAGTTTTGAAAATCAAAATATAATGCTGTCTTAATTGGTGATCTATGGCGTTAACAGGGTAGGTTGGAGCCTGTAAAAACATATGTTAAAAAGAACAAAAGAGGTTTAGGGGCAGAAAAGTGGAAAAAGAAGGCTTTGCAATCATCCACTACAACCACCTCTGGAGAGAAGGAGAAAACTGTAAGTTTCACCTGCTTCTTTTACAGAACTCAATCCTGTGTTGTTGCTGTCAACTAAATTTTTAGCTTATTACTTTTATTTTTTCGAATATGGAGAATTCCGGGATGGAATTGTGTGATTGTCGAAATCATAAACAAAGAGGATATAGTTTCCTTTTTTCTTTTTTTAAAGAGTAGGAGATTATTGCTTAGTTTCCTTTATATATATGACGTACAAGTAGCAGTGAATATGGTTACCTTTGTGTTTTAATATTTTTTTTGAAATTTTGTTGTTCTTGTAGTGTATTTACTTTTTATTGCTTGATGATTTCTCATTGTTCAGCTCTTCATTTGGGGCTGTCGATGAAGTTATCGCTTTTTAAGAAAACCAATTATTATCTTTACTATTGTGATTACTGCTTTAGGATTGAAATTTTAAAATAAAGAGGATTTCGTTGACTTTTTCGATTTTCCCTCTAGCAGATGATGTGATGCATGAACTTTGTTTACTATTTGGTTAGAACAAGCTCAACTATATTATATATGCGAAGTTATGGTTTTGTTGTGCACTTTTGTTCAAGCTCCACCTGCAATTTTCTTGCAATATTATTTACCTGCATTTCTACAACCTTTCTTTGCCACCAAGATTGTTATCTATCCCAAGTCTACCGATTATGTGAACATGTGAGGTCCTGAGTAGTGTGGTCAGTATCTGTGTTTCTTGAGCTGGTGGACAAGGATTGGTTGTGGAGGTGGATTCTGTATTACCATGCCATATTCTGGTGTGTATATTTTTGAGTCAGATTTAAATTGCCTTCGAGTAGTATTCTCAAGGTCCTATTATTTTTGGTCAGATTGAATCATTAAGGTTGCGTGGTGAAGTAAACTCCTCAACCCTCATTATTGAATCATATATTTTAAGTAGCTGAATAAGCTATGCCCTCTTTGTAGTTGCACAAAATGCGACTCCATGACACTTCTACTTTTGCGCTCTGTTTTGTTATGGGAGACAATCCTCATTGTTTAGAGTAGGAATTTTCTATTGAGTATTTGCATTGGGTTTTGCTCTTTTTTTTTTCAATTATGCTGTTTGGAAATGCATGTAATCTATGGAATACAGTACTATGAAAATGTCGCTTTGAGTGGGGACGCAGAAGGGGGGGAGGGGAAACTGCTGGTGGTGCTGTGTAACTACTGAGTATCGCTTAATATTGATTAATTAATTTATTAATTGGTTGTGGGCCTTAGTCCAATCCTTAGATCATCGAGTCCTCTCTCTTGCTAATTCTGTTGCTATTTGTGACAGGAGAAAATGTCAAAAAAGGAGAAAGCACTCTCTAAAAGGGTGCGGAAAATGCTGGATGAAGAAAAGCGCCGGCGAGAGAATGAAGTTCGTCAAGCATTCTTCAGAGAGTTTTGGCCAGAGAATGTCTGACATTGGGTCATTAGGACAACTAATTGCATGCCCTTAATTGTTGGCGATACCATGTACAGGTCTTCTTTCTTGCAACAGCGCTTGGAAGATCTCTGGGAAACTTTGAAAATAATTGGGGATCTTGCCTGCACTTGCACGCCGTAAATAGCCTCACAACCCACACACCCACCTGCTGCACCCTAGATTAGTACCAAGTACTTGTATTTTGGGTACTCGTCTTATGTTATAATTGTCGCACTCGATGCTGATGTGACCTACAAATATTTGTACAATTATAGTATTGATAGCTAGGATTAATGATTTAATGAGGGTCAATTGTTTGTATATATGGGAATTTTTTATTCATATATTCTAAATTTTAAATTAGATGTTCTAAATTATACTTATATATTTTAAGTTATATAAATAAAATATTTTAAATTTTTACTCACATGTTTTAGTTCTTAAATCAAATGTTCTAAATTATTACTCATTTAGTCATTTATTCTAAATTTTTCCACAAATGTTCTAAATCTTAGATTAGTTTTCATATAATTATGGGTTCTCACTTCTCACACTTACCGTAGATTTGAGATTCAATGAGAAGTTTCTTAAAATAAAAAGAGATAAATGTGCATATATTTTGAACTAAATGTGTATATATTATCTACTAAATATGCAAATTTGATTTTCAACCTGCTACTTTTTTTAACAATCTGAAAAAACGAAAATTTATGCACATTATACACAAAAAAATATGCACATTGAATTTTAGTCAATTTTTTTGCACATTTAGTTAAAAAAAAATATGCACATTCAGTATAAAATATATGCACATAAAATCCTTCTCATCTTTCTCATTTTTAGGAACTTTTCATTTGGCCCTAAAAATCTATATACTTCCTCCGTTTTTGTTAGTTGCATCATTTTGGTTTTTATGGACTCCTAGGCAATTTTTGGAGTAGAGAGATGTGGAGAGAATTGATAAATAAGACCCATATGATTGGAGAGAGATAGATAGAATTTTTAAACTAGGAAGGAAAGTGATGCATCTAAATTGAAACTTTATTAATTAGAAAGTGATGCAAATAAACGGAGGAAGTATATTATAATATTTTGGATTGGGAGATTTCTTAAGCATTGATAAAAAATAAAAATAATAAAAAAAAATTCCAATATTATCAATAGTGTCTACTATTTAAAGGGAAATTCATTTACTCCATGTGTCATACTTCCCCCGGTTTTTTTTAAGTGTATCATTTTGACTGTCACAACGTTTTATCTAGGCAAGTTGGATAGAGTAAAATATTGTAGAAGTAGAGTTTATTGAGAAATTAAAAATTAAAGAAAAGAGATACTGGAATAATAGTTTATTACTAAAAAATAAGAAATGTGAGAGGAGAGAAATAAGAAATCACGTATTCATGGAGAAAGAAGAAAGTACCAACTATCCGACAAATTTTGGAAATACTCATTCAGCAGAAATATCCTAATAAAACTGGCCAAAATGTAGTGCCTATTTTACAATCTGCCTATGAACAACTTTGTAAACAAGTTCATATTAGAAAGTTGGATCTTATTTTATTGCTCGTGATATTAATGTTAAAATATTATGCGTGTTTTTGAAGGATCATGTATACTTCCTCCGTTTTTTATTATCCGCAACAAGTGTACCTTTTGCGGAGGCCGAGGCAAAACTTTTAAAGCATGATTATAGAAAATTAAGTGTATATGGTTAAGTATTAATTCAACTAAAATTAAACTAATAACCCACCACCACTAGCACCACCCTAAATCGAAACCACCACCACCATCCAGCGGCACCAAAACCACCACCACCACCCAGCGGCACCGAAACAACCCAGCTACCACAAAACCACCGCCGCAACCAACTCACCCACGAAACCACCCATTACCGCACCCACGATACCACCAACCCACCACCCATCGCACCCACGAACCCACAATCTACACCCACGAACCCAAGAACACACCAACCACAATCTGCCACCCATGAACCCAACACCACCGCAAGAACCCAATTCAAACCCAGAAAATCGAAGTTTTTAATTCAAACCCAATTCAACCACCACCGCCACACGCCACACAAAACCACCACCACACACCACCCTAGAACCACCAGATCTAAAACCCAAAAATCAAACCCATCCATAAACTACCCCCACGAAACCGCCCAAAACCACCACCATCGACACCCACTCACAAAGCAACCAACCACAAACCACGAAATAGCCACCCACAAACCTCCAACACCCACCCACAACCACGAAGAAGATGATGAGAGGAGAGATGAAGAAGTAAGAAGATGAGAGATGATGATGATGATGATAGGAAGAAGATGAAGATCGAAGAAGATGAAGGAAAAGATGGTGGGGAGATGAAGATGGAGGAGAGAGATTGTGGGTAGATGAAAAAAGTTGATTCTGATTTTTTTTGAGGAATAAAGTTAGATAATTAAGTTAGATTAGGGTTATAATAATTTGTAAATATTTGTATTATTATGTGTTAATAATTTTTAAATGAGGGTATTTTAGTCATTTTACCATAAAAAAGTTACTATATTAGGAAAGAAATAGCTTTGTTGCAAATAATACGAAACACCCAATTTTAGTAATTGTTGCAGATAATAAAAAACGGAGGAAGTACTTTGAAATTCGTCTACTCTTATTACCTTTTTTATTCTAGGGATCTGCAAACCTTAATTTATTGCTCCTACATGCAAGCCGGCCAAACAACTACTTTGAACCAGATTATAGATATTTTTTTTATATAATAAATAGATTCAAATCTACTCTGCATGTAAATAGAGAACATAATGATAGCAATTTCTAAATCGATCTGATTATGTTTGATAATTTCATTTTTACCTATATATGGCTATATGATGCTCTTAAAGTAAGCTTGCCCCAAGCCGGCCAAACAGTTGCTTTGAATCAGATTATAGGTAGATTTTTTATATAAATAGGTTTCAGTTGTATGTAAATAGTGTATATAACGATGACATTTTTCAATCAATAACTAAAGTCCATTTTATTAAACTGGAAGTGGAGCCAAACTGCCAAAGCTTAATTTAGTGTAGCAAGCCGAAACTAATTACCAATAATGAGCCAAATCCCAAAGTTCCCTGATACTATTAAACAACATAGACCCATAACCATTAGAGTACTTAATGCACGCCCAGTGACACAAATGATATATAAATAAACTTAACTAAATAACATTAGCCTAAAGAAACTCTGATCTTGCTCATATAAAAAGCTCAAGGCAGAACAAAAGCCAAAAAGCACAACTAACGCCCTTTCACAGTCCAGCAGCATTAACACTATGTGCACAAAATGCAGGTGACAGGAGCTACTGATCATCAAGAACTACCCTGTAACATGTTAAAAATCATCTAGTTAGCTTCAACTACCATCAAATGTCTCAACCCTGTTGCACCACAACGCCGAGGAAACATAACAATGACAATCAACAAGAAACCAGAATGTTTGAACAACTAAATAGAATAAATGCTGAGCAATGCAACTATGCCTAGGGGTTGACTTTTTGTTGAGCAATTTCTCAACCATATGCCTCTACATTTCGAACAGCCATAATCTTTGACTAGAAATTATATGGAATGAATACACGTATACAGCCTGCTCGTTTATCTGAGGCCGTGTATTCCCTTCAACCTCCCTTCTCTATAATAATCGTCTCCACTCCAGATACAGCGGAAGTAAAAGAATCCAACAGCTGACATGAGTTTCGAGTTCACCACAAATATCCAATAGGTAACAGAACTAAGTAATGTATAGGTAGATAGGTTATTCAATTAGATATTTCTTCCCCAATATAACCCCCACTCTTGATACAACTAAAGTAAAAGGGTGCTATAGCTGACACATAACTTTCAAATTGCACCACGAGGATTCAATAGGTAATAGAGTTTTTAAACGATTAAGGAAAAAGATAGCTGAAACCTGCTCCTCATGGCAAAGCACACCAGAGATTGTAAAAACAGATGAAGCTCTAATCGAAGCTACTAGCTAGCTAACCATAATTAGATGAAAATAGTCATTCAGAATGACTGTCCTCATCTAAACTTGTCTAAGTTGACATAGATCAATGCAATAATTGCAAGTTACATACAATTTTTTATCATGCATCAATTGCACATAGAAGAGCTTTGTTTAGAGAAGATGGGACAATAAGGGGAAAAAATAAGGGAGGCAGGAAGGATTATCTAAGAATAAAGGAGAAAAAAGAAATTGAAGATTAATGGAGGTATAATCCATGGATAGGTATAAAGATGGAAGTTTTTTGAATTTCTATGAAAATTAAAGGCGATACATAAAAATCAAACAAATCTTCAAATTAAATTATAGAGCATGTACAATCACGTTTTAGCAACAATGAACATGAATTTGCAACAGCACAAGGTCAACAAGCCAAAGAGAATATGAAAAGAAACAATCAATTTATGCATATAAGAGAGAGTTGAGAAGAGGGATGAGGGTACTCACTAAAGCGGGAGGAAGTCAAGCACTTGGTAAGTGGATAAAATTTCATATGAGCGGGTATAAAGGGGAGTGAGGGTTATGGTGGAACCACAACGCTCCGCTTTAAACTTGAAGAAGAGAAGAGTGGTGTTGGTAGGTAAGCTACGATCACATCGATCACCACCTGGAACAATCGGCACTACAGGCGAGTAAACGGCCAAGCACAAGATTTTGTTGGTGTCGTCTAGACAAAACAGCGAATCAAACCTGAAGGTACAATCATCTACAGAGAAATCTTTTTCAATAACCCGAGTGGACCACTGCACGTCAAACCACTTTGCGGTGGCAACCTCATATGCATGAACAAGATTGCGAAGTTTATGGGCATGAAGATAGAGGACACCATCAAGAAGTGCAGCATCCTGTACTCTGTCCCAATCAGAGACATTGGAGTCTAGACATTTCCATGTACCAGCACAAGTACCATGAGTGGGAGGATAAAAGGCATAGAGGGAAGACGAGGAAAGCTGACCGTCATTCAAGTGAATTAGAATGCGATTGTTGGTAGGGTCCGGAATCACTGGCATAGATGGACTACAATCCACCAGTTTGGAAGGCAAAGGGCCAAGCGACTTCCAGGGGCCATGGGGCACACCATTGGTGGTATCGACATGAAGAACCTTTGGAGCAAGGACATTTCCAATACAGTAGACATCCCCATTAAGGCAGGTGTAGTTGTATTCATTAGGATCATTGATCGGAGCTGAGCCCCACGTCTCACCAACACCAACACCAACACCAAAATGTAAGCGAGACGCGCCCACGTAATAATTCAATTGAGAATCGGGTAGGGGTGATGATATTTCATTCTGACCACCAAAGATGAAGATGGACTGACCCAAAGCCACCATTTCACCAACCTCCGCAGCCCTTCGCAGTGATGGTAAACAATTATGATATATTTTGTCCAGCTTCAGATCCACTATGTGGAATTCTTCTCGTCTAAAGATTTCTTCAACCATATTACCATCTTCGTTTTGGTATTGTACCTTATCTTCAATATTGTTCAATGACCGCACCAGAATCTTTCTTTCCATTCCTTGTTCGATACTCTGCCACTTCCTTTGAGTTGACCCACCACCTCTTCTCCTCCGTCCCATTTTTTCCCCTAATCATAACACAAACACAACTAGTTTATTACATCACATAAAATTCAAATTAACATCAAACATAAACATCACCCACTCATCATGATTTTTCTAGATTATCACATCACATAAAATCAAACAACCGAAGAATTAATTAATTTTATAATCCATAATTTCACATCAAAACAATCATCGAATACACAAATTCATCAAACATATGCTACAATCGACCTGATAAATTATTTCAGAGAGAATTAGGAAATTGGGGACTTTTGATTAAACGGTGAGATGAATGAAACCCTAAGACTTTTTATTATTTCATTTACTTGTATTTTTCTACCCTTTATATTGCGGAGCATTAGCAAATGAATAGTGTCCGGACGGAATTGCCCTTCATGTGCCACATCAGCTTCCTCTACTTTTTTTTTTTTTTTTTTTGAAGAAACCGTTAGTCGGGCAATTTTATTAAATTATATCAATTTCCGCCAAAGTAAGAAAGGTTTGGGGGAAATCGTTAAACCATACATACGGAGATTCACTTGTACTATGTCTAGCAATCAAGTGTGCTAAGGTATTACCCGATCTACGGACATGACTACATTTAAAGAAATAAAAAAACTTCTTTCAATCTCCTAATATCCTCATAGAAAAGCATTAAGGTTGAGTACCCCATATCATTTTTGTTGATGATGTTCACTACATTAGCTGCGTCACATTCAAGCTCGATCCTCAAGTGTCCCAACTGCTTTGCAATCTGCATCCCCCACCTGGCAGCAGCTACTTCAGCCTGTTCAACACTCCATCGTGCCTTCATACGTTTAACAGCTGCTGCAATAATGCTCCCCGCCTCATCCCGCAACACCACACCCAAACCAATTATATTATTTGCAGCGAGATGGGCATCGAAATTCACCTTAATGTTGCCTGCAGCAGGAAGACGCCACGTCCCAAGGGGAGCAACATCACATGACCCAGCTGGCCTAAACACCCTTTCCGCATACTCCTTATAATCATTAAGCATCTTGGTGAAATTTGCAGCAACACCACTCGGATCAGCCACAAGTTCATTATGCACTCTTGCATTTCTACAAAACCAAGCAGCCCCACACAGCATACAGAAGAGACTCAGTTCGTTTTTGCTCAGTCTATTTGCCACCCACAAAAAACGATCACAAAATGAGGAATTAGGGGCATAAGCTAACAGGTCCTGGAAAGCACTATACGACCAAATAATTGTTGCATCAAGACAGTCAAAAAGAGCATGATTGATGGTCTCTGTAGCAGCCCCACACCCTTGGCAAATGCTGTCATTAACAATGTGACGAACCCACAGCCTCTCCTTGACCCCAAGACTCCCTTTACACCCTCTCCACACAAAATGTTGCAATTTAAGAGGACCCTTGACTCCCCATACTCTCTTCCATAGTTCCTCTTCAAGGACCCCATGAGACAAAGACCATGCACGTTGCTTCCCAAGCCTTGCAAGTAGGTAGCCTGATTTGACAGTGTAGCACACATTCTTCGTAGGCCACCAATATCTCTGATCAGCAGACCAAAATTCTGACAGGGGTAAATCCAAAATTAGCTCACATTCATCCTCCAAAAAAATACTCCTGATGAGTTCCTCATTCCATCTCACATTGTCAAAATCAATTAAGTCTGAGACACGAAGATTAGGGTCCGCATTTATGTTCGGAGTTGGCACAATTCACTAGTAGAAAATATCAAAAAGGCACCCCCTAATTGGCACCAGTTCAGTCCAAACCGGTGCCAAAAATAGGCTACAAAATTGGTGGGAAGGTAAAAGGCACCGGTTCACTTCAAACCGGTGCCTAAAACATAAAGGCCACCGGTTTGAACCGGTGCCTTTGTGAACCGAACCTTTTAATTATTTTTTAAAAAAAAAACCGGCCTTATCTCTCCTTAAAACCCTAAAGCGCATCTTGCTCCTCTCTCTCCTCTCAATCCACCTCTTTCACTCTCTCCTCTCCTCTCTCCTCTCCTCTCCTCTCCTCTCCCTTCTCTCTCCTCGATCTCTCCGTCCCATTCACTTCTCTTTCTCTACAACAATAACAACAACACCACTGCAACAAGAACAACACCACCACCGCAACAACACCACCGCAACAAGAACAACACCACCACCGCAACAATACCACCGCAACAAGAACAACAGCACCACCGCAACAACAACAACAACACCACCGCAACAACAAGGGTTTCACCACCGTAACAACAACAACAACAACATTAAGGGTTTTTTGTATCAATTTTTTTGCGTTTCTGGGTTTCAACGGGTTTTTTGTTTCAATTTTTTTGCGTTTCTGGGTTTTTGTTTCACTTCTCTTTCAATTTTTTTTGTTTTCTGGGTTTTGTTCGATTAAAATCAGATTGGGTTTCTGGATTTTTGTTTTTGCGTTTTGGTTTTTCAAATTGGGTTTCTGGGTTTTGGTTTTTCAGATTGGGTTTGAATTTTTTTTTCAATTTTTGGGATTAAATTCTGGGTTTTTTTTTCGAAGCTTAATTGTATTAATGTTTTTTTTTTTTTTTTTTTTTTTTTTTTTTTTTTAATAATTGGTGCAGATTCATATATGAAATCGAAGAAGCAAGATACTGGTGTTTTTGTTTTTTTTTTTTTTTGATTAACAATATTGTAATTTTTTTAAAAAATTTATATCGTAATTTTTTTTTTGTATTTATATGTTGTAATTTTTTTTTATTATGTATTGTAAATTTGCAAATTTTCGATGATATTGATGTTGCAATATTCTAAGATATTGATGATGTTTTAATCGATTTATATTACGTTTTAATGTTGTTATGTATTTAGACTAATTAATTTTTAAGTGGAAAAAACAAAAAAAAAAAAAAATTATATTTTTTGGCACCGGTTAACCGGTGCCAAAAACAACGAAATTATTTTTTTTGGCCATTTTTGGCACCGGTTAACCGGTGCCAATTACAAGTTTTGGCACCGGTTCAAACCGGTGCCTTTTAATAACCCTTTTTGGCACCCCCCCACATAGGCACCGGTTCTTAGGCCGGGTTTGAACCGGTGCCAAATTCCTTTTTTCACGTAGTGATTGATGCACTATCACTTGGCAGCCACGCCTCTTCCCATACCCGGATGCTCTGCCCATTGCCCACCCTCCATTTTAAACCCTCTAGTAACAGAGGTTCAGCACCCCAGATACTACTCCAAGTATAGCTCGGGTCGTAACCTATTTTTTATTCCAAAAAATCATCATTTTTATAGTACCTGGCCTTCAACACCGAGTGCAGTAGAGAATTTGTATCATTATGCAATCTCCATGCCTGTTTTGCCAGCAAAGCTTGATTGAAAGACTTGAGATCACGGAACCCCAGCCCTCCCATCGATTTAGGCATACACATAGAATCCCAACTGTGCCAATGCATCTTACGAGTAGCATTTGTGGACCCCCACCAAAATCGGGCAATAAGAGCATGAATATCATCTAGCAAACCATCCGGCATACGGAACACACTCATCATATAAGTCGGAATGGCTTGTGCGACGGCTTTAATCAGAATTTCCTTTCCGGCCCGTGACAAATAGAATGCTATCATCAGCAAAGAAAAGATGAGAAACCCGAGGTGCCCCTCTACAAACTCTAGCACCATGAATCAACCCATGTCTTTCTGCATTTGCAATCAGAGTAGAAAATACGTTAGCACATAGCAGCAAAAGATACGGGGATATCGGATCACCTTGACGAAGGCCTCTAGTCAGAATAACAGACCCCGAAATCTTCCCATTTATCTTAAACGAGAAAGAAACACTTGAAAGGCAACCCATAATTTTTTGAACCCATCCGACACTAAATCCCATCTTCAACATCATTCTCTCCAAAAAAGTCCACTCCACCCGATCATATGCTGTACTCATATCCAATTTCAGAGCTACATTGCCATTTTTCCCTTCCCCCCTCCGTTTCATAGCATGGAAGATCTCAAAAGCCACCAAAGCATTATCCGAGATCAATCTAAAAGCACTCTGATTAATAGAGATGATAGAGTCAAGGAAGGGTTTTAATTTATTTGCCAAGGTCTTCGAAATAATTTTGTAGAGTACATTGCAAAGACTAATCGGCCTAAATTCACCCATAAATTTAGGATCATTACATTTTGGAATCAACACAATGCACGTCCTATTTATATTCTCAATATCCACATTCCCTCTCCACCATTCCTTCACAAAATGCACAACACCGTTAACTATAATATGCCAAAATTTCTGAAAGAAAAGAGCGTGCATACCATCTCCGGGAGCTTTATTAGGGTGCATCTAGAAAAGTGCTTGTTTCACCTCCTCACCTGTCGGTTCACGATCAAGTTTCACCTCCTCTACCTTTGTGTTTTTATTTTCCTTTTTTTTTCTTTCGTGCTGAGTTATGGACGGCTTGACCATGATTTCAGTTGAATATTTATTAATTTTAAGTTAATATTAAATAAAAATATATCTAGGAAATTAAATAATATAATTTTGGTTTTTAAGTTGATATAATTAGAATAATGTTTATAAAAATTCAATTTTTGGTAGTTAATAGTTAATAATGTTGGGTTTTATGTTTATTATATTTACAATGTTGGTTATTACTATGTTTAATATTAATGAATATCTACAATAATGACTATGCGTCATGTTGGCGGTGATGGAGATGGTGCAAATCACAAACTTGGAAAAAGGGCTCAAATCATACCTCGAGGAGAGGGTAGCCGAAAGAGGTTGTGATGGGTGGTGGTGGTTGTGTTAGGAGAGGGAGGAAGACAAAGGATATAATTAGAAGTTCACTAAATATTGTGACCGATTGTGATAAATTTGTGGGCGCCGTTTACGATTCACTAATGTTTTGTTACAGTACGTTCAATTAAGAGCTCTTAATTTGACTTGATTTTAATCAAGCTCGACCCGACTTAATTTTCCCTATTAGAATAAAATGACCCGTTATTATCCGACCCATTACGGATTAACCCAAACTTTATATGATTACCCAATTTG